TAGAATAGAATAGAATAGAATAGAATAGAATAGAATAGAATAGAATACTTTATTGGCCAAGTGTGATTGGACACACAAGGAATTTGTCTTGGTGTAAATACTCTCAGTATACATAAAGAAAAGGTTTGAAGAAAATGTTAGCTTTGAAGAAATAACTGAATTTTCAGAATTTGATGAACTTGCCTACTTAATTTCAATTCCTAAGTCATATAATCCCAAAACATTTTCTCCTTTACGATTTCCAACACATCGTGCATATTCTATCAATTTCAAAGTGAACTTGATTATCAAACCCATCAGACTCGTTTGTTTTTTTTCCGGATCAATGTTTCATCGTAGATCACTGATTCAACAATCACTAGATTGTTACACTGAGCAGTTGTCCATAAAGCCTATTTGATATTATTCAGTCGTTGACTTTACTATATTCAAGTATTGTTCTTGCTACATGACTATAAAAGTAATTCTTTTCTTTGTTATTCATGCCCTGAATAGTAAACAGTATGTCATCGTCTGACCAAAAGGATCTAATTCTAGTCCAACAAATTCACTGGTACTGAAGATATCAATGTATAGTTGATTCCTTCATCTTTTACAGTGCTGAGCTTTTCTGTGTTAATGTTTCTTACTTTCCAACTTCCCACTGTAATTCTATCTGCAGGTTTGGATTTTCCCAAATACTTTAATGAAGCTATTTAATAAATGTCAGTAGCATTCTAAAAGATCCTTTGTACTTATTGGGTAGCAAGTTGACTGCAATTCAATCTGAGAGGCCCATCATCCAGCACTATGTCTTCTATCATTGATTTTATATTTTTTATACATGTGGTTTTGTTGGTAAAAATATAGAAATGGTTTACTACTGCCTTTCCTCACAAAGTACGAATGGATGCTTTTGCTCTTTTCCCTAAACTGGTAACTTCTAGTATCTTGCCATATTGCTGCTGTCCAACATAAGTACCTGCGCACTTCACTAGCAGATGGGATAACTTGGGTGACTCAGATGAGAATAAATATTCCTGGAATCCATGTGCCATGCTCTTTGTTTATTCCTCCTGGGAATAGCAGTAGCAATTAGACTTATATACCACTTCATAGAGCTCTCCAGCCCTCTCTAAGCTGTTTACAGAGTCAGCATATTGCTCCCAACAATCCAGGTCCTCATTTTACTGACTTGGGAAGGATGGAAGGCTGAGTCAATCTTGAGCCGGTCAGGATTGAACTCCTGACAATGGGCAGAGTTAGCCTGCAATACCTCATTCTAATGACTGCACCACCATGGCTCTCCATGGAATACCTCCTGGTACAGCAGGACCTGAATATTGTTAGCTTTGGAACATTTTCCTCAATAAATAAATAAACAATATTTTGACTAATTTCCTTAAATGGGCTCTCTTTATCTAGTTATATGATTTGTGTGGAGAACAGATTACGTTTTAGATCATTTTATGCCAAAAGATTGAATATTCAAAAGAGTTCTCAAAGTTTTACATACCAATTTCCCTCCCTCCCTCTCTCTCGCTCTGTGTGTGTGTGTGGGTGGGTGGGTGGTGTGTTGGTTTATATGCATACACAAATACACACAATACAGAAAGTATTTGATGTATCTTTATGATTGACTTGCACCATAAACATTTTTTTTGTTTTTTCTCTTTCATTTCAGCTTACATTTCAAATGTCTTTTTTGATACAAAGCACCTAATAATTTCTAAATCTTCATTAACATATACATCTTCTATTTTCCCATTGCTGTATTTGTCTTTATCAGTTGATTTACAGTATACTCATTTGTTTTCTTTTGAATAGCCAAAGACAAATCTGAGAAAATATTTGCTCTGGCATTTGTTAAATTAATGCGATATGATGGAACAACACTACGAGATGGAGAACATGATCTTATAGTATACAAGGTATTATCTTAAGTATATGTTATAACACTTTGAGGAGCCAACAATGCAAGGAATTTTTTTTTGTTCAAAGTAATATAGAAGAACAATTTGTTACCTCATCAGATCCGGGCACAGGAGTATATATTAGAAGGAAGAGCAAAAGTTATTTTTCATGTAGGTATTTCACTAAAAATCAGACATCTCATTAAACAATTCAAGTTTTATGATTTAAAGTTTTTGGAATATTTACAACTTAAACTACATACTGTTCAGTAAGTGAAGTATTTATCTTCTTCCTTCCCTCCAGACTTAGTATGTTATAATGTTGGTGATTTACCACTGGAGTTGAAACAATGTTAATATTGCTCTGTGACATTTTGATATACTTTCCAAGGTGGTGAAAGCAGTGAAGAAGATGTGCAATGAACTATAACATTGTTAAAAATGAAATAAATGGTTAAAGGTGTCTGTGTTTAAGTGTAGTGAGATGTGAGTACTGTAAAAATTAATACATATTTTGTTTTGGGATAATGTTGCAGGCAGAAGCAAAGAAGCTGGAAGATTTTTCAACCTATTTAAGCTTGCCCTCTACTAAACTGGAATTGGAAGAAAAAGGTCACTCCACGGCTGGCAAGGGCATGCAAAATCTTGGAAGCTGTACCATTAGTAAAGATTCATTCCAGATATCTACTCTTGTCTGCTCAACAAAACTAACTCAAAATGGTAGGGATGATAATACAGCTCCAGAAAAAAAAAAGTCATTCAGTTTGTATGTTGCAAGGATTAATGCTAACAATTTCAGTTCTGAATATTTTGGGGCATGGAAGGAATTCCGAAATAAAATACAAAATGTTGCATATTTTATACAACCCGGTCAATTTTTGGGAATGTTTTTTGATGGGACCTTATTTGAAGCATCTAAAAAAAAAATAGAGACTGTATGACCCTTCTAATAATTTTGGACTTGCATCATACCTTACCTTTGGTCATGCTGGTAGGATTGGTGAAGAACTACACATTTAACACAAATACAAATGGACAGAAGGGGGAAATGATGGAGATTAGATGCTATCTGTAGCTTCAGAAATAAAATATGAATACATTGTGTAAGAGATGCCAGGGTTTAGGTATCTCCACATCTATAAGAAAAATTGAAGAAAAAAATGACTATTCATATTTTGCTATATAAAATGCATGTAAATTTTCTTGTTTTGAAGATCACATGTATGCTTTAAATCATTTATCAGTAATTTCCTGTAAAATTATGAAGCAATTAAACATAAAGACATAATTAATATCTTAGAAATTTTGAGTTCTCTTACTGTTATACAGCTTTAGAAAACCTATATTATTTCTGTGGCTAAATCTATTATTTTTTTCCAGAGTTTAGATTAAATTGACTGGATGTATGGTTTGTTGTCAGGAAGGAATAGAGATGGAAAATTTCTAGTTCACAATAGAGATGCAGCTCATGACATTTCCTTGCCAGTTTCACACTTTTACCACAGGCTTTACACTGTCTTCCCAGCTAGGGAATAATTCTTAGCAAGAGCTCAAGCAGCAGCTGTTTGCACACGCAGAGGTTTCCTCCTCCCTCTTTTCTATATAAAACAGAGGGGATACAGTGGGGTGTCTACAACTTGTGTTGGACAGAGCTTTCAACTCTTTCTAAAACCCATCATTTAAGATTGTCCATTAAGGCAATTCAGCCTTCGGAACTCATTAATATTCTGAATTACGCTTCAATTGTAAAGATGTGTTATAAAATCTGCCTAAAATCTGATAACTAGACTTATTAATCCTTCGGCTGCATCTGGTACTTTACGAAAGATCTTTTGGCCAAAAGTATTTATCCTCCCCAATGATAACATGCTGAAAATATATTTTGGAGAGTTCCCTTAACATTCTGTAGCAGATTTGTGGGATGGCATGGGAGAAAATTGTATCCCTTTCAGTTGATAAGATTATATATAACATTATAAGATTCAGATTTACATATGTAAGATTGCAGCTGGCAGGAGTTGTTCCAGTCTTTTTCTGCTGTTGTATTTTATGTATGATAGAATTATCCAAGTTTTCTCCCTCCTTTTCAGTGGACTTACTGGGGCTTTTGAAGTGGCGATCCAACACAAATATACTGCAACAGAATTTAAGGCAACTTATGAAAGTTGATGGAGGTGAAGTTGTTAAAGTAAGAAGTCTTTTTGCTTGGTGGGGGTGAAGGAGCAGCATTTTTTATTTCTATAAGTATGAAAATATCCTGCTTCTTGTTGCTAGTAAAATGAAATATCCTACAGGTGGTCTTTGACTGAAATTTATGATGGATTTTCCCAAAAGTAATTATAACCCAGTTCTGAACTACTGATGGATGCTTCCCCACCCCATGGTTGAATTTTGGGCATTTGGCACCCAGTCCACTTTTACTGAATGAAATAAAAGCATCTTATTGCTGCATAGATTTATTTTCTGTTATACCACAGTTTTAAGACATGGAATCATGGATTTAAGTTACAGCAAGTTGTCAGGTTAAGAACAACTTCCATTCCTAATTCTGTCCTTAAACCAAATTTGTATCCAAAGCAATACAGACTATTTAAGCAGTTTGTCTTACTGTGAACTGCTGAAAACAGGCTGAAGCATGTGCAGACCCTGGATAAGGGTGAGGATTGTGCATTGGCATGCAGACGGGGAGGTATGCAAAGTATGAACTGAGAAGGTGGGCTTTTGGAAATGCAGTATTGGGTGATGTTATGCTGCTCAGCCATTGCTTCCTGTAGTGATGGAGTTCTCCTTGCCAGGTGTGTGTGTGTGTGTGTGTGTGTGTGTGTGTGTGTGTACACATGCATGCATGCGTGTGTAGGAAGCCAGATTACAATTGAATGTTAATCAATTGCCTAATCAAAAGAGCAGTTTAACAGTGAAGCTAACTGCACCAAAAATGGTGAAATCCCTTTCAACCCGCTATTGATGTGTAAGTTATTGAATCCTTGGTGGAACTTTGCCAATACCTCATTTGATATGATAAAAATACCTCAAGTAAAGAAGATAACTATAAGGAACAGAATGTAAGAAATCATACATATTATATATGAATGGCCATGGCTGTGTCAATCCAGAATATGTTTTCTCTTTAAAAATGAAGTCTGAACATATATCAAGTGTGCAGAATGTGATAGTTACGTGTGCTGATTTGCAGCATATGTGGTCTACATTCCATTCTTGTGGTAGAGATTGCTATGAAGAATATCAAAATCTATGGCGTCAGGACTGGGTTTCCTCAAAAACAGCCGTTATTCTAGAAAACTACAATGTCCTTGAAATACTGGAGGCTGAGGGTATATAGTCTGAGTTCATCACTTTCAGTGTACCTCCTTAATTTCATTTTTCTTTGGCTATGATTTTTATAGTCACATTTCTCTATATATGAACATAAAATGTATCCCTATACATACTTTTCTTGGGACTGTGTGAATAAAGGTTTTTTTGTTTTATTTTCCATGTAAAGATGTAAAAATTAATATAACCACCACTGTTAAACCAGTAGGCATCTAATTACTCTTTAGACAAAGTTTAGTTTTTGAATATCTGTTATAATATTGACCATAATTTTTTTTCCAGTTCCTTCAAGATACACTGGATGCATTGTTTAACATTATGATGGAGAATTCAGAAAGTGAAACATTTGACACATTGGTGTTCGATGCTTTGGTAATATATATATGTACATTCTATATATATACACGAACATACAGAAACATATATTGCTTTATAGTGATTTATTTCATTTAATATCTGTCACCTGTAAGAAGTAAATCTTCTATGAATCTCAAGTCTTCTCCGCAAATGCAATCATACTACTTTCCAAGGACTTGTGGTATTATTGACTACATGAAATACTGTTTTGGACTTGATACCATAGAAGTAATCTTAAACACACAAGTTTTGTGAAAACATTCACCTAAATAAAATAAATTGTAACAGGCTGAGAAACCCATAAAGACTGCATCTTCAGTGTATGCTACTTCCTAGGATCCCTGACACATCGCCTTTGGCCACATACGTGAATCCAGGCATATTTCTTAGTACCATTAGCATCACCTGGGAACAGAACAGCAAGATTCAGCAAGGCTAAAAAGCTATATATATATTTAATATATAGCAATATCAAAAATATAGATTTTTAATCGTAACTTTTGCTGTGATTATTTCATTTAGTTTTCTTGATGGAAGGATTGATTCAAGTTCAACAACCTTGAATGTTAAACTATGGATTATGGTGTAGTTTTATGGCACAAGGACTTACTCAACAAACCATGAATTAGCAAGAACTAGGAATCCAATCAGTATTGCCTGCAGAGGAAAGGCCTGTTATGGCTTCCAAAACAGCAGATTGTTACCCAAATTATTGATGTAATAAATTTGTCAAGTTATTCCTGTACATAATTCCATTCCAGGTCCTAAAAAACAAAAGCAAGCTTAATGAGGAAAAAGTGTTCAAAGGGATACATTTCCTTAGATATCAAGAGACACACTAAAGTCAAATGCTATGGATTTTCAGATAGCAAGAATTCTATTGTGCTGGCTATTACAAATGACCTTCATAGATAAATGTTTCATCAACCTAGTCTGTATTTGAAGACAATTGGTAAAGCCTCATTGTTACTTTCAGTTTAGGTCTATTCAAAATTGTCCTTTAATCTCCTCTCCTTAAATTTAATATATGTAAGTGAAATTCTATCAGCAAACTATTTTTTTACAGATGGAGCTGTCTTCTATTTTTTTTTCTAAAAATGTAAATATTTGAAATGTTGTACTTTCAAGATAATGAATACCTTTCCCATTGAACAGGTTTTTATCATTGGACTAATTGCTGATCGGAAGTTCCAACATTTCAATCCTGTTTTAGAAACCTACATTAAGAAACATTTCAGTGCTACTTTGGCTTATACGTAAGTGGTTAAATAACTATGTCATGGCTGAAAATTAGTTATTTAAATAGGAGGTAGAAAAAGTCATTATCATATGCTTATTGTTTTATAGGTTAACTAAGCTAGTTTGTTGTCAAACTTGCTATTCCTAGAGGCTTCTTAGATTATTAGTAAAATATGTTCATCCAATTTTCTAACAGTCTTATTTTCTGGACAATTTGAGTGATCTCAGAATTAAAATATTTTTTGTTGTTGTTTTGGGCTTCTTATCTGGGAGATATTTTTGTGTCCATAGCTAAGTAGTTCATATATGCAGGTATGATAGATTACAATCATAGATTGCAGATATGATCAAAGAGAAAGGGTTTCCATGAGTAACTAGAAGATGGCACTATGCCTGTATTGGCACATGAACTTCCTCTGACCTTAGTAATCAATCACATATGTTAAGGGTGAAAGTGGTTTGTGATGAATCCTATACTTGAATTGTCTTAGGCTATTGCATATCATAAGAATAATCTTGAATTGTACTTAAGAGCTGTTCCTGGTTACAGTTACACTAATACACACAGTTGCTATGGAACTCAAGGGATTTACTCCCTTGCTTCTAATCAAAGGATTTATTCCCTTGCTTGGCAAAAAGCCTCATTGAATATCTTTGCTTTGGTCTTTGCTCTACTTGCTTGGTATGGGTGCTGGGAAGCCTGCTGTCATCATCACCCAATTCCTCCAGTTGTTCAGGAGATGCTTATGTTTGCTCAGCTTCTGGTGATTGTTGGTGATTTGAAGAAACTGGTGATTTGTGTCTTCTGAGATTGGCATTCCACAAGATCTGCTTGACCAGTTTCTTCAAAATAAAATTCAGATTCAGCATCTGAATTTTGGGCTATGACAGCTGTAGAGAACCATAAAGATATCCTTCAAGAAAATATGTGAAGATCAGTAGCAAAATATAAACTCAGTCTATGAAAACAGGATACGGGTAGTTCTCATTTACCAACTGCAATAGAGGCTGGCATCCTATTGCTAAACGGTGTGGTCTTAATCTTCTTCTTATGAAGTTGTTTGTACCTTTTTTTTCTAAATAAACTCTGTATCAGGGGTCCCCAACCACCGGTCCGCGGACCGGTACCGGTCCGCGGAACAACTCCTACCGGGCCGCTGGTTGCTGGGCGCCGCCATCTTTTTTTGACGAAAAAGTGCTTCCGGTGAGCTTTTCCGGGTAGAAAGCTCAACGGAAGCACTTTTTCATCAAAAAAAGATGGCGGCGCCCACCTGATGCTGGTACCGGGCCGCGGCGCCCAGCTGATGCCAGTACCGGGCCGCGGCATAAAAAAGGTTGGGGATCACTGCTCTGTATGACTATGGACATTTGGGTTACACATAAATGTTTATTGCACTATTCTAAAAATTGTTTAAAAATCTTAATAAAGAAGAATATTTTAAAGCCATTTGTAGTATATCTAAAAATGTCTTCACAGTAAACAGAGAAAACAATGAAAATAGGTCTTCATACTGCATTTACTGGCTTGTCAAAATGTGAAAAAAAAATGCAGTCTGTGTCATGGAAAAGTTTAACTTACAAGTGCTCTGACATTTGTGTGCAAAAGGGATGCAGCTTTGTGCAATCTTTTTTAGCATTGTTCCAAAAAACTAAGGCATCTTTTGATTCTCTATTGAAGGCCTTCCTTTTTACATTTCATTTTCTCTTTTTAAAAGATTTTTTATCCTGCCTTTATTATTTTTAGTGTATCGAGTTCTCTTTTTTATTCTTTATTTTCTTCTATTGTCTGTGAGAGTTCTCTGAACACAAATCATGATTATACTGTATGCTAGTACATCTCATTGTATGTACGATCTGTATTTTTCTTTTTCTCAGAAAACTGACAAAAGTTTTAAGGACTTACGTGGACAATGCTGGCGTCACTGATCAACTATTCAAGGCTATGAGATCTTTAGAATATATCTTCAAATTCATTGTGCGATCAAGAATTTTGTTCAACCAGTAAGTATTATAACATCTTTATCCGTAATGTACTCTTCAGTTTTTAAACTGATGGTTTTATATAACATTAAATAATATAAGATGTGAAGTATTCTTTTGTGATATACAATAATCATTAGTTGTAGATGAAATGAACGCTGAATGTTTAGCATTGGATGTTGGTCAGTTCTTTTCTTGCTGACTAATTGTTAACTGTTAATCTGTCAGAACTACATTGTGTCTAGCATTTGTAGACTTCCTTGACATCGTATGCCATACACTAAATAAATAAATTGTTAACATGGTGTGTTGTACTGTTTGTTTGGTAAGGCAGTGTGCATCTAAAATTTTCACAAATTAAGTATTCTGCCCAGTAATGTACTAACACAGTATTATTGTAATTTTATTTTATTTGATCATATAGAATAGAGTAGAATTCTTTATTGACCAAGTGTGATTGGACACACAAGGAATTTATCTTTGGTGCATAAGCTCTCAGTGTACGAATACTTACAGTTTGGTCCAGTGGTTAAGGCACCAAGCTAGAATGCAGGAAACTATGAGTTCTAGTTCTGCCTTAAGCATGAAAGATGGTTTGGTAACTTTGGGGCAGTTACTCTTTCTCAGCCCAATTTACCTCACAGTACAATATGACTCTCCGTCCAGTACAAAATGGAATAGATGCTAATACAAGTAATGGAGAATAATGATATGTTTTTAAGGATTGTAGAAATAAAAATTGAACCCTGATTTTCTCTTTGGCAATGTGTGATGCTCTTTTAAAAAATGGTCTTGTGATGTTACATATAAAATGTATTCAGAAGACAAGTAGTGCTTGTAAAAGATGTATGGGGAACTCTACTGACTCCTTCAAGCCAAGATCCTTAAGCCTTTTTCTCATACTCATCATTGTTGCAGCCTCCATACAATAGTTGTAGGGGAACCATGTGGCATCCTAGAGAAAGGTTTGTATGTCAGTGTAATCCACCATAGCCAGAATTAGTGTGCATTTTACCAATTCTTGATATGGTGGAAGAATAAGAAGGCTGGTAAAGAAGGGTGTTGAGAGAGAGAAGGAGTACTTGTTAACTAATTTTAATTATTGTACTCTCTTTAAATGTTTTGGTGTTATTTATTTTCTCAGATTGTATGAGAATAAAGGGGAAGCTGACTTTAGGGAATCCTTGCTTCAACTCTTTAAGTCTATTAATGAAATGATGAACAGTGCCTCTGACCAGACTGTTACAGTAAAGGTATGTTTTAGAAATAGAAGGGTCTTTTTTATTTTATCTATTAAAAATATTAAGTTTTACACATTGCAGGAAATTTTATATTTTACTTTATTTGAAAAATGAAGTTCAAAATGTGTCCGGAGAATTTTCAGTAGCCTGAAATTTGTAATGAAACTTTTTCTGCAGATGCATTTGTTGCTGAAATCAATACTCCAGTGTATTAGTAGGGAAGTAGGAAATTTGTCCATATGAATTAATGTTTCTTTCTGAATTGACAGCATTGCTGTGACACAGCTCTGATTTTGTTATGCTGTTGCTTTGTATGAACTCAAGTGAGTTAATTATATCTTCTTAAGTCCTGTATTCTCTTACACAAAGAAAACATCAAAACAAAATCATCTTAGAAACAGAAGGCAAAGCAAATGGATACTGGCTGAGACTATGCTTAATAATTTTGAAGTGTGTTGGGGTCATGGGGAGTTGGTTGATAATATAAAATAGCAGAGCCAGCCGAGAATTGGATTTTTTCTATTTGCTTTTTCAGGGATTCTCCCAACATACCCTGCCCATTGGATTTGGAACAGATTGTTTAGGGATGTACATATATCTGTGTGTGTGCAGTATGGTGTGCACAGTTTGGTGCGCGCAGTATGGCTTTTTATTTTTCCTGTCTCATGTTACCAGAAATTTTATATATAAATATATGGTATTCAGCTTTGTTCGGGTATTTTCCCACGTCATTATAGTTGTGCTTTTAAAGTTGTAGCAACGTTTCGGCAGAATCTCATCTGCCATCATCAGGCTTCTGTATTGTGTTCATCTGTGAGTCAGACTTTCACAGCCGTTTCAGTTTTAAATTTGGGGCTATCCTACTGCAGGTCAATTTTATCTTTGGGGTTTCTTAGAGTGGCTGCTGTCATCACATCAAGACTGCCTTCAAAACAGACAGAAAAATAGCAGCCATCCTAAGAAACCCCAAAGATAAAATTGACCTGGAAAACCAAGGGATATATGAAGTTCCCTGGGCATCATGCCCTTCCACATACATTGGACAGACCAATAGAAGAATAAGTACCCGCCTAGATGAACACAAAAATGCAGTAAAAAAGCTGGAACACACTTCCTCACTAGTCCAACACATGGAAGCCACAGGTCATAGCATCAACTTCAATGGCACCAAAACCCTAGCCACTATAGAAACCCCAGCTACAGAATTATCAGAGAAGCCACAGAGATTGAAAAAAGACCTGAAAGCATGAATAGAAGAGATGATTCCACCAGACTGTCAATTATTTGGAAGCCTGCAGTCTCAAACAAAAAAATCTGTACACCACAAGCCAGGCAAACACCTGGGCACAAACAGACTCCCCCTGATACCTCCAGTTCAGACACACCCCAACCAGGCACCCAGATGAAACCTAGCTTCCTAATAAATGATAGCCGTCCGTTTACTCGGAGCCAAGCCTCACTAAAAGCCTCCAATACAGGAAACACAATGTTGCCAGCCAATCAAGACAAAAAAAGCTACAAAACAGACAAAAGATATTAAAAACACCAATCAAGCAGGACACAGCAAACTCCAAGACCAATAAACACAGACCAAGACTCCCAACCAATCAGGATGAAGAAAAAAACCATTCTGGCACAGCAGTAGGCTAGCCCCAAATTTAAAACAGAAATGGCTGTGAAAGTCTGACTCACAGACGAATACTATACAGAAGCCTGATGATGGCAGATGAGATTCTGCCGAAACGTTGCTACAACTTTAAAAGCACAACTATAATGAGGTGGGAAAATACCCGAACAAAGCTGAATACCATACATATAAATACCCACGAAAACTTAAGAAAACATACATACATACATACATACATACATACATACATACATACATATATATATATATATATATATATATATATATATATATATTCTTAAATTTAAGAAAACAAATAAAACTTAAACTTAAGAAAACGTGTGTGTGTGTGTGTGTGTATCTTTGGTTATTCGGGTTTTTAACTTTTAACTGCTAGGAAGAAGCAGCTGCAAGCTCACATTACTCCGAGAAGCACAAAGCCGAAGACACAAGCCTGAAGATGATGAATGAGACTTCATCGAAACGTCGCCCAGATACTTCCAATTTTACGCGGGAGAAAACCCGAATAACCAAAGATCCACATATAAATACCTGCGAAAACCTCAGAAAATATATGTATATGTATATGTATATGTATATGTATATGTATATGTGTATGTGTATGTGTATGTATACACACACACACACACACACATGTACGTGTGTGTGTGTGAGAGAGAGAGAGAGAGAGAGATGTGTGTGTGTGTGTGTGATATGTGTGTGTGTGTACACTCATACACACACCCAGACTGAGCGTATAGATAGATAGATCTTGGAGCAATTGATGATTTCTGAAGTTACAATTCTATTAATATCAGTCTAGAAAATAGTCCTTTTGTATTTTGCAACATAGTACTTGATCACTGAAATACATGAGAAATTTGTTTCTTATAATATCTCTGCTTGTGAGCTGTGTCATTTTCATTAAATTAACTTTATGGTGGCTGAATCTCCTGTCATACTATAGAAAAATGCAAAAAAAAAAATTAGCAAATATGTAGTCATCACTTAATAGAAGGCAAAATAAGATAGATAACCTCATACCAATATATTTTTGTCCAATTAATAAGTTTGTGCCATCCAGACGTATATTTTATTTATGATCAGAAAAGAGACCATTTCATTGAAAAGCCAGATAAATTTTGACCATGTTTTTTGGGGGGGGAGGGAGTAGCTGCATTGTATCTTACCCTTTTCATTATATATCTTCTCCCTCACACACAACCACATGCTTGCTGTGAGCTTAGGGTATCCTATCTTAATTCAATACATTTAATATTTTTATTTATTTTTACCCTACTTCTATGAAAAGTACGTAATTCCTAGTATATTATGAAGCAAATAGGCTTGAGTCAGGAAATAGTTTTCATAAATGTGGAGTTGAATTTTAGTTGTTGAATGTGAGAAGAGTGATATATAATGGAAGTAAAGCATACATGAAAATAAATGGGATAAATGATTGTTTCAACAGAACAGGGCATAAAATAAGAGAGTGCGATGTTTCTTGGCTGTTTAATGTGTTTATGAATAAATGTGTTAGTATTCATGATATTTTTCATGGACACACGTTGGCTATTTATCTGAATGATTTGCATGATTTTATGATGCAACAGATTATTGATCTGTAGACCAATGTAGCAAAGATCAGGATTGTATGTCAAAATGTGTTGAATGAGATGGAGAAACAGGATTTGTGTATGTGTGTGTGCCTTCTGGTCAGTATTACGCTTGGTGACTTCCTGTAGTCTATAGAGAGACTGGTTTAACACAAGGTCACTCGGGTAGCTTGGAGCTTAAGTATGACAGAAACCCATGATCTCCCAATGTCTAGAATGATGCCTTAACCACTGTATTAGGTTGGCTGTCTGGAGAAGGTGGTTGTGTATAAGACTATGGGTATGGTAAAAGAAACAGAGAAAAAGTCATGAATGAATTAAAATGGATTAAACACAAAACGAGTGACCATTATGAAAATATTACATTGTGGTGGTTTGACCATGTAGCTATAATGAATGATTCAATTGCAAAAATGTAAATAAAGGCTGAATAGGTCAAAATGAAACACTACAAAAGTTACAATTGGATAGAGAAAGAGGTGAGATCAGAAGAAAAAGTGAATGGATTAAGAGGAAGACCAAGAAGGTCGTGATTGGATGGGGTTCATGAAAAGTACAAAGCCTAATAATGTAAAATCAATTCAACTATATTTTTCTTTCACTTATTCCATTCCTTTATCTTAGTATTTCTTACTTCCTTTTGTGCAATTTTAATGTTATTTATTGTGAAAGAAAATAGCATGATAAGTATGTTTGTACATGAAATCAGTGCACATGAATTTACTGCTTATTCTCACCCTTTTATGTCTGAGGAAGATCAGATGGCTCTGTTTGTTGGTTGGCAGTCCCAAACTAACAGTATGTCAATTACAGACACTAAGGCAGTTAGAACATCAAAGTTCATATTCTTGTTTGGATGAAATCACAAGACAGTAGTAATTGTAGTATGCGAGACTGACATCTAACAAGCATGTACAGTAATGTAGAATAGGAATTTAGTAATTTTTAATATGCTACCTAAATCTAATCAAGGATTAGCTTTTCTGGATTGGTATGAGATTATGAAAATGTGTGTTGTCATAGGCTGATTAAATTCTGTTGTCCTTACTGTGATGGGAACAGGGATATGAACCTTGGCTCAGTGATGTGCAAGTATATTAATTAATAATTTTAATTCATAATGTTAATTTAAGAAGTTAACAAACTGTTTAATTGTTGGTCATTGTTGCTGATGTTCCGTTGATATCTGATAACTATTGCTTGAAATTAATATTCCCTCTTTTCATGTATATCAGCATCTGGGAATAGCTAACATAGTAATGATATCACTAATCATGCAGGATCTCATTTCAGCTATTGCTTGCAAATGGAGTAAAGGTCGCATTTGCTATTTGGCTTTTATAAGACTTAGTTTTGATCTTGTATAAAGTTAATCAGCTTTTTAATTTAAATTATTCTAGAGCCTCTCTATTTTCTTTTACTTTTTAAACTAAGACATAATTCAGATAATTAAATACTTTAATTACAATTTGAGACATTAGTCATCTGTCTGTATTGTCATCATTAATTTATTTTTAAAAAGTGAGTGCTATTCATTTAATCCACTGAAGATATGCTATAGTAGAATTTTTTTAAAAATGCACAAATACAATAAACATTAATTTATCAAAACTAAACTGAAAGGCAAATTATTTTAGAACATTGATAGGAATAAGTGTCAGTCCTGGTGTATATGTAATAGAACATTAGCTTATGTGTAGGTTACATTAAAACAACAATTCTATATTGTTAGAGAAATGTTTATCCAAAGTTCAGGTGTTTTTTTTAAAACACAGTGTCATTTTTTTCTAATAAAATTGTAATTCTCAAAGAAAAAAAACTTTTTTTTCTGGTTCACATAATTTTGAACCATTTCTTTAAGAGGCTTTTGTTTAATATCAGAACTTCAAAATTATTATTAGAGCATTCATGTTTTCAAAATGAAATTTGCTAGAACATTTATCTCAAAGCTATCATTAATATTAGTAGGATATAATCTCCCAACAGTAAAGCTATCATTAATATTAGTAGGATATAATCTCCCAACAGTAAAGATAATACTGATAAAGTAGCTTCAGAATTTGTAAATTAGAAAAAGCTTTCTAATTGGAAACAAATTCATGTTTTTTTAGGTCTTTCTCTTTTTATTTGCCTTCCTCCCACTTTTTATATATGAAAAAAACATATAGAGGTTTTTTTTGACAATAATATAAAAAAGGTTTACTATACCTTCTTCTAGGATATTTTTAATCCTTCACATTCTAGACTACAATTCTGATATTTCTTGGCGATTCCCATTGAGATACTATAACTTGGTGTGATTCAACTTAACTTTTAGACATTAATGAAGGTCAGGTACCAGCAACGTATTATAATATATTGATTATATTGTTGCTTCTTTAAAAATAGAAAAGTCTTTAAAAATAGAAAAGTATTACAGTGGTACAAAGATGACAATTCTAGTCATGTTTCATTTTGCAAATGTATAGAATACTTATGGAATTAGTTCTGTTCTTTCTAAGAAAGAATAGCTGCATTTATGGTTGTATAAATTTTTACTTCATATTTTGCTAACTGAAATCAGTATAATAGGCATCATCTTGAGAAATATGTAAATTAAAAATTACTTCATGCATTATTCAAAAAAGTTTATTTTGTATCATTGATAGCTCTTATCTTATGTAAAGATATGCCAATGGTTTAATTAAAATAATTACACTGAATAATGTACCCTGAACTTTACCCCCAAAGTACTTCATATTAATCATCATACATAACTATATTTTAGTCACAAAGACAGTTATAAATTTGATAGTTAATAGATAACAAACTTGGGGCCTGATTAACTCACTCTAAAACTGCAAATAGAACTGGCTCAGTTCTGAGTTAGACTCTGATTTCGACTGGGAGTAGAAGAAAAATAGTGTAGTCTGTTTAGTACATTCATATTCCCATGTGAACGAAATCTTTAAAGCAAAGAGTCAATGAAGACAAATCAAGTGCAATGGACTTATTCCATTAAAACTAGGTGAATTAAAATCATGCAGGTGATGTGATACAGCAAAAAGTTGAGTTCCTCAGAATTTAGGGATCCTCATGTAATGTTACAGGAAGAAAGAAAATTCATTTGAATGAATCTATATCTTGCAAAATAATATAATATACTGTAAAATTATTTCCTTTATTTTTAAAAGGTATTTTAATTGTAAAGATTTTGTTGGTGTTGTTAGACTTTGTCCTCTTTTTTTTTTCCTCCAAACGGTTGGCATCATGAAGCTCATGTTTATAAAAATGAAAAATATGACATCTTAGAACAGGAGTGTCAAACTCAAAGCCCATGGACCAGGTTCGGCCAGTGCGAAGAAGAAAGACCAGGCCAGTGTAGTTTTGACCTAGTTTATCCAGTGCGAAGAGGAAATATCAAGCCAGTGTGGCTTTGGCCCAGTCTACCCAATGCGAAGATGAAACATGCCTGCAGTTTGGGGAGTGGCATCAAGCTGGCCATGCCCACTCAGTGGCCATGTCCACCCATTCGACCATGCCCATCTGGCCCCCTGGGGTCAACCACATCCCTGATGTGGCCCTCAATGAAATTGAGTTTGACACCCCAGTCTTAGAAAATTATAATTTTTCATCCACAATAGATTTAAGTCAAGTTATCTATTTCTTCCTGGTAGCATGTTAAAAAAATAATACTGAATTATCTCATTGTGTAAAATTCTGCCTTGTGCAGTTGGTACAAAATAACAGCATTATAATTCTGGTATGAAAACTGTACAAAAGCTGCTAACATTTATTTCAAGTCAGTTGTGTCTAAGTATTACACAAAATAGAAACTGTATAATATTACCCATGGTTTTTTTTTTTTTAATTTTCAGATGCTACAAAGATAGAAATAAATGCATAGGAACTAATGATTTAATCAACTGTAAAAGTGGAAGAAAACAAAGCTCTATCCTAGAATTGCTGTGCTGAAAGTTTTATTTGATAAATTGAAAGAGGATAACTGCAGTATAGAGGTTCACAACTGGAGATAAATCAGGAATAAAAGACATCAGTTGTGGAAATTGAAACAAATGGAAAAGACTAAATGACAGTGGAGGAATGTGAAAGAGAATTGTGAGTCAGGATGTTTTCCACATGGCAGCCTCATTCTTTAAGACCAGAGTAACAGAGGAGGTAGCGAAGAAAGTAATTGTCTAAAGTTATTGGAAAGCTAAATAACATTATTGGAAAGGGTATTAGAGAAGCAGTGGCAGAGTGCTTTAAGGAATTCAACTGTATGGTTTAATTCTTCTTTAAATAAATTATTCTTATTTTTAGGGAGCTGCTCTTAAATACTTGCCAACAATTGTGAATGATGTAAAACTTGTTTTTGATCCCAAAGAACTTAGGTACGTATGTATCATCTGTATAAGTATATGCCTAAGACTGTTTTTGTTCCTACTTAATAATATTTCTCTTAGAACGTGAGATGATCCTATGCTTAAGTTTAGGATTGTGTGGGAAACATTTGCTAGGCTGTTAGTTTATTAATGGTAAAGCTTCCTCAAACGGAGTTCTACATCATAGCATTTCATAGCCCTGTCCCCATATTTTGCAATTGCCTTCTTCTGGAATGTAAGGTATTAAAGCCTGTTTCTCATCCCCCGACTTTGAGACAGAAGGAATGTGATGGACTTCTGGAGTGAAATTTTTGTTTCAGTTTTTTTTTTAACATGATCATTATTATCTTTTTGGATTTTCTTTTTTGATGACAATTCTTTATTTTTGCTTTGTTTTTATAATTATTTTGTAAGCTACTCTGACTTGTAACAGATTGGTGGGGCAGGGTCTATACATTTCACAGTTAAATAAATAGTTGGGAGTGGGGTACAGTGAACTCAAGTGAGTCTTACTCAAAGTAAATATGTGAGTGTGCTTGCAATTACATAGTGATGTATATTATGAACCAGCTTTCTTAAACATCTTTGTGCTTTGCTGTAGCACCCTCCTTCCTCTTGACTGCTTGTTGTTCAAAACATAGAACACCCCCACCATTATCGCCTTCCAGAAACAATTAGTGCAAACCTTTTCTGGAGGATTAATTTTAGACGGCAGTGCCATTTTTATATAATTCAGTATTTCTAGCCTTTTATTGCAAGTCACTTTTTAAATCGATTTTTTTCTAATTTTGTAGTCTGTGTTTATTATGTAAATTCTGTAAGGTGCTTAGAATCTGGTGGTTTCAAGTGGTCAGATGAATAAATGATTAAATAAAAATGTGAATATGAAATATTTGCATGCTTCTATTCCCAATCCACATGGGCACTTTGAAGAGCAAAAATAATTATCCAACTGCTACTTTTTACACGCAACCTTTGCATTAAACTATAGAGGAGACATGCATTAATTACATAGCAGAGTTTCAATTCATCTTATTATCTGTTGATGATTAGTTGCAAATAGTTAAATCCTGAAGGAGTGAATTGAATACTTTAAAGGTTATACAAAACATATTTCACTGATTATTTTTAACACACTATTTTAAAAAAACATAGGAGTGAAGAAAACGATAAACATTTAATGAAAAAGGTAGTTAAGGGGAAACCAAGATGTTTATTTTTCAGATTAAATTAATGCTCAGGAGTAAGAAATAAATGTGATGGTTTTATATGTCTTTAAAATGTACAAAGAGTTAATAAGTATACAGATAAGATCAGAATAATGGGATCGCATGAATTCTTAATTGCCTTTTCAAATATTGGATTTTTAAATTTATATCACAATATTTCTAAATAAATAAAAATGTCTTATTTTTTCTTGTTTGGCTAGCAAACTATTTACAGATTTTATACTGAATGTTCCAGTGGGTCGTCTCACAATTCAGAAATTGTACTGTTTGATTGAAATAGTTCACAGTGATCTTTTCACACAACATGGTAAGAACACAATGATTTATTATTTGTCAATATCTGTCATGCCCTGATGTGCCCATACTACACACAATAGCTGAGAGAAATCTCTTCGTCACCCGTACGATTGGATAAACCTGTAGATAGATAGAAGCTAATTAAACAATACCAAATTGTACATTAGATTAAAACATAATGTTCTTCCTTTTTTCCTCCCAATATGGAGATTTTTGAAGGAACAGAACTTTTTAACAGGGGCTAGGAGGGGTTCCCCAAAACAAGAGACACCTGATATCTTCTTTTTTCTTCTATTCAAAATATTTTAGACTATTTCTTCTAGCTGTTATGCACAACAGGCAACAGAAGAAGATCTTATATTTTCTTCCACTGGTGCCTAGAAAGTTTTTTTAACGTTTCAACCAAAATCTTGACAGTTCTTTTTCCAAATTTGTTCAGGAAAATATGGAGGATAGAATGGGCACTCCAGCCAGAATCAAGTGTTATGGACAGATACAGGAATTATCTTCTCTAATATAATGGAATGGTCATCTCCAACAGTAACAATCAAATGTTCCTTTGGTTGATGCACTTATTGCAACCCTCACATCTTTCATAACCAGCAAGGGAACAAAAATGGTCTTTCACAGGCAGTTCAAAGTTTTAGTGGCCTACTATTCACACAGCAGCTATCAATGCCTTGTTACAGCAACCTCTGTGTGAGTAGAGGAAATGGCAGACATAGATAATATTCCTAAACTGATGGAAGATGTACAAAAATATTTTTTGAATAGCTGCTCTTCTGGCAGCTTCTTTGCTTTTGAACCCTGCTGTTATAGCAACAAGCCTTGAAGCTAGAAGAAATGTCTAGCATACAGTTAGCACCAGGATATAGGTACACAAACTTGCTTTGAATCTGTTCCTTTTTGTAGAGAAGCTTTTTGGAAAATATTCCAAATGTTATCTTGGTTGAAGCACATAACAAAATATTTTCTTTCCTAAGGGCAAACAGAAATTGAAGATCTTTTCAGATCAACTGATGTGTAGTGAGACATTTCAAGAACATTTCAGATCCAAATGATCTGGAACATCAAAAATTTCAAACAAGACACATTCACTTTAATGAATGTTGTTTGGTTTTCCAAAGTTGACAAACAAAACAAATGTGCCTATTTAATCTGATGCCAACACCACTGAGGGTTATTGGACTTTGTGGGAGACGATAGCCAAAGGCTCTGTTTAGAATTTGCTTAGATGCCAAGAAAGAAATTTCCGGCATCATGTTGTTCAAGACAGATGTCAGTTTTCTGGAGCTTAATGCAATTTTTTTTTGGCATTAAAGAATTGAAGGGAAATAATATACTGATGAAAATAAATAATGTTTATAGTATGTAAAAGCTTATCTGAGTAAGCAAGAAAAGACACATTCCAGGATTCTCAACAGGGAGGAATAAACTTGTAGTTAATAAATATGGGACATCGATAGGAATCTCTAGTAAAGTAGTGGCTTGGCTCAGCAAGGCCTCTGTCAAGTGGTTGAAATTGAATCTCAGTAAGCCAGTTCTCCATCTGCTAATGTTTCAGCTTGACTTTCTGAATGTAAACATTTGTAATCAGGTTTGTAATACTTACACTCAAAATGTTTTCTCAAAGCTTTTGTGTCCAGACACAACACAATAATCTATTTCTCAGTATACAAAAAGACTCCATTTGTCTTTATGCCCTTATTTCTCAGACATACAAACCCAATAATTCAAAACATAGATCACATAAGTAACAATGATGACTATGGGAGTCACTCCCAAAAGATGTAGTCCATTTTATGAAGAATACAAGTCAATTTAGGGTATGCAAACATCATTATCTGGAGATCTCCCACCCATAGGATATTCATTTTAAATGATCCAATGAATTATTATATCAGGTATTATTTTAGAACTTGTATTATCTCTTAGCTCAAATGTTATGGTGGAGAATAGGGTGTCATTATCATATCAGCATACCAATATGCTGATGATACTCAGCTGTATGTCTATACCCGTGGTGAGTTAAGTGTTGCTGTGTCCTCCCTCTCGCAGTGCCTGGAGGCTGTTAGGGGCTGGATGGGGAGCAATGGGTTGAAACTAAACCTTGCAAGACCGAGTGGCTCTGGGTTAGGGGTTCGTTGGCTCAGGGAGAATTTCCACCTTTGGTCTTGGATGGGGTGGCAATACCCCAAACAGACCCTGTGTGTAATCTAGGGGTTTTCCTGGAGTCACGACTCCTGCTCAAAGAGCAGGTGGTAGTCATGGCCAGGAGGGCCTTTTCGCAACTGCGGGTTGTACATCAATTATGCTCTTTCCTGAACCAACGGTCCCTACTCACAGTCACTCATGCCCTAGTCACTTCCCATCTTGATTATTGCAACACGCTCTACATGGGACTGCCCTTGAAGAGCATCTGGAAGCTGCAGATGTTGCAAAATGCAGCGGCCCACATGGTTTTGTGCAGACCCCGGTATGCACATGTGTCACCTCTCCTCCAGGAGCTGCATTGGTTGCCGATTTGCTTCCGGGTGCAATTGTTTTATGTTTTTTTAAATGTTTTTCAAGACCCGGGTTATCTGAGGGAACGTCTCTTCCTGGTCATATCTACCCGACCCATTAGAGGGAATGTTGCAGGTCCCATCCCTGAGGGAGATACACCTGGTGGGACCCAGAAGAAGGGCATTCTCCATGGTGGCTCCCTCTCTCTGGAATATTCCCCCAGAAATTAGAATGGCCCCCATTCTAGCACTCTTTTGGAAGGCACTGAAGACCTGGTTTTGCCAGCAGGCCTGGGGAACTCAGAGCAGGATGGAGCCCATCAAATGGCTAGTGTGATCTGCTGGCGTTGGGGCGAGGGGGTAGGAGTTTGGGGGTGATTCCCCCCCCATATTACACTAGAACAATATTTGATTATTTTTTCTAGTTTTTATTATTTATTATTTTTATTTTTTGTTTTAAACATGGTTTTACATTGTGTAAGCCTCCTCAAGTCGCCATGGGTGAATAGGCGAAAATACCAAATAAATAAATAAATAAATAAATAAATAAATAAATAAATAAATAAATATTGATTCTAATGGCCTCATGTGTATTGATGCCCTCTTTCATAACATGGGTCCAGATTATTGGGGGGGGGGGCATTTCTTCTTAGTTACATTATCCCACCCCATTAGAGCTAGCAGAAGGCATGCTGTGGATGCTGTCAGCTAGTGATCTTTGTCTAATGGGTCCCGGTAAATATGCTTTCTTTGCTGTGGTGACCAGCTTGTGGAATATCCTTATCTATTTTATATTGGCTGTTTTATTTATAGTTCTATAATACCCAGAGTCACCTTTGGGAGAGAAATCATTAGATTAACAAACAAACAACTTATTAGTCCAGTAGTCCAGTCTTCTATATGTTCTTCTACATAAACATATTTGGAGATTAGAAATGCTGTAGCAGATACATTCATAAAACCAAATTGCCACTTTTTAAAATGTGACATTGAACTTACGATTTTCTGTTTTTTTTAATAGATTTTGAGATAATTACTTTGACTTCGAAGTTTTGTCATAAACAAATTTCATAGATACTATTTGATTCTATTTCCTTTCCCACTTCCCCCCCCCCCCCCCTTCCCCGATATATAGACTGTAGGGAAATTCTGATGCCAATGATGACGGATCAACTGAAGTATCATTTGGAAAGGCAAGAAGACCTGGATGCCTGTTGCCGATTGCTCAGTAATATTCTTGAAGTTCTTTATAGGAAAGATGTGGTTAGTAACCATTGTATATATTTAACTCTGACACTGAGAATGTTTAAAAATATTATGAATAAAATTGAGGTTTAAAAAATGGAGCACTTGTATTTGCAATGATGCCATTCACCTAGATTTCTGCTTTGAATGGAAAAGGTGAAATGCTGGCATTATGGTATGCATTTGATATGTTACATTTGATCTTTATTTTATCAGATATATAATTTGTTTAGGCACTAAAAGATCCGGAACTAGTAGAATGCAAGCGTTTACTTCTGTTTGCAGTTGTGATAGCTTGATGGAGAACTTTAGACTTTCTCTTGCCTGCAGTGAAGCACTACACTTCAGAATGGTCCGTGAGCAGAGGTGGTATTCAGCAGGTTCTGACCAGTTCTTGAGAACTGGTAGCGGAAATTTGAGTAGTTCAGAGAACCGGCAAATACCACCTCTGATTGGCCCTGCCCCCTTCTATTCTCTGCCTCCTGAATCCCAGCGGATCGGCTGGGCCTTCTTTTGTTGCCCTGCACAGGAAAACAGAGCTGGAAAGCAGGTTAATGGGGTGGAGAGGGAATGGGATTTTGCAGTAACCTTCCCCTGCCATGCCCACCAAGCCACCCCATGCCCACCCAAAAAAAGCCCACAGAACCGGTAGTAAAAAATTTTGAATACCACCACTGTATCATGAGGTACTATTCAGTAAAGATGCTACAATGAGAACTTCAGATTTTCATGCGATAATCTTTTGAAGAAGGGTTTTTTATTTATTTATTTATATTTATTTATTTATTTATATTTATTTATTTTTTAAATATTTATTTATTTAAATTCCACCTTTATTATTTTTATAAAAAAACTTAAGGCAGCAAATATACTTCTTCCCATTCCTCCTTTCCTCGTGATAACAATCCTGTAGAGTAGGCCTTCAAGCCTAAGGCAGGAGTAAAACTCACAGGCTCCCAGTGAGTTAACCAACCACTAGACAAAACCGGTTTTCTTTTTTGATTATTTATAAGCATTGGTGTTTAAAATATGACTTATTAACCTGTGAATTTAAAATCCATATCAAATCATAAAATGGTTCGTATTAACTATCTCACTAAAAAGAATAGAGAATGCTTCTTTGAAAATTACATGATGGTCTAAAGATGGTTGTCCTTTTGTTACTAATACATAACATTTCCCAGATGTCACTGATTAGGAGAATTTTAAAGCTTTCCGGCATTCCCCTTCTCCTAAAAGAATAGTTACAATGGCTCCCACCACTCAGACTAACTAGGGTCTCAGCATATTCGATCCTGTTTAGTTAGGGAGTTCTTTTTTTCTTTCTTTTGTAACAATATTGTCAATTTTCTAACGTAGAGAGATTAATGAAAGCTACTAGTAAATAGACCAACCAACTAATGGAAAATTTCTATCTCTGAAATCTTGCATTAGGCCAGATCTGACAATTATGATGCTGAGATTCAATGATAAAGACACTGACTAGTGTTCACCAGTAGTGCTACTGTATACAAAATATTATGTGAGAGAAGCTGTTTGGGAAATAAGATATGGATTCCATCTATTCAGCCTCTCAGCTTGGGGCCTATTAAGCAAATACTTTTTAAGGCATGGTTATATCATACCAAAAAGTGTGAATTCGACGCACCTGGTGTGGCATCAGTAACTGAATTTATTACTGCACTATATTTCCATTGTTCCTAAATCTCAATATGTAACTTCATCAGCATGATAAACCTCTTGTGCTTGTTTTGAACAAGTTTCTTTTATACACTGAAAGGCCTTATTATTTCTTAAGGATTCGGCAAGCAAACACCACTGAAACTTACTTTTTAACATGCTAGATATATAACAGTGTCCTATGTTTTAAACCTCCCTGCGCTCTTTGTGAAATGTGATTTTGATTGGTAATACAATCCAGTGGTGCAGTGTTTAATATTTACCCCCCCCCCCCAAAAAAATAAAAATTGGTTGCTGTGCACCTTGGGGCATAAGCAATTATCTTCTAGTTTCTTTACCTGCTGAGATTAGCAAAGTCAAAGACTTTTTGCTTAGGAAGGTGCCAGCAGACCTGCTGAGAAGGCAGAGTAGGTAAAAGATGAATAGGCTGAACTGAGGGAACTCATTTTTGAATGAGTTTTTGAAAAGACGACTACCTAAGAAATTATTGGGAAATGGAAGAGAATATTCATTGGTGACAAATTTAATTATGGGGGTCAGGGAGAAAAAAGAAAACCTATTAATAAGCACTGGTGATAAAGACAATGAAACCATTTCACCGTTTCTTGAATACAAAAACAAATACATGCACAATACTTTCTTTTTGCAAAAAAAAAATTATTAGCAAACAGTAAAATAATTGTTTGAAGAACATCTTCATAAAATAATGTGCAAAAACCTGCAACAGCCATCATAGGATAATATTAACAAAATTCTATTGCAAATTTTAATAGGTGTGCATCAGTAAAAAGAGAATTCTATATGTGTATTTTGTTGCCAGTTTTTCTAAGCAAGCATTTAATAAGGAATATACTTCCAACAGCTCCATTTATTTAAACTTTTAAGTTCACTATTATTATTGGAAAGTGCAATTGGACTAAATTAGCTACAGTTGTTGATTCCTTAGCTCTCAACAGCAACTGGTTTACTTTACTATTTATTTATTTAATTTCTATACCACCCATGTCCCCCTACAAGGTGATTGTGGGCGGCTGGTTGGAGTTATTTTGTTGCAATTGCAATTATTGAAATGCCTTTAGAAGCTTCTTTATGTAAAGTATATTGTAGTAGTACCATTTGGAAGTAAGCACTATGTGGGGCAGTTGGGTACACTCTTTGTACCAATTAGAGTGATTTATTTCTTTTCCTGCTTTGCATTCTCAAGCAGATAATATAATATAGGGTTTGAAAATTAGATTTATTGCAGAGAATTAGGAAGTCATCTACATATGAGACCTACACCTAAGCATCCTGGAACCCTGTCTGCCCTATAAGTTGGTCCCCAGGTTTAATTCCTGGGCATTTTACTGTCACCTTTTGGAATCAGTGTCTGTGCAGCTGTGCACTTCCACTCTTGATATTTGCTGACATCTATCCTTTAATAATGGTTTTCTCTGATGTGAAAATCAGATTCCCTTTTTAGCAGCTACAACTCATATATACTTCATAAGAGAGTGAGGCCAGTCCTCAATTTTTCAAGGCTTCACTTTGCTTTTTTGCTTGAAATACTCCTAGATACAACTATATACAGAGATACAGTTGAGTTTAGGAGTATCACCTGTAGTTACTATTTATACTTGTCCTTGGCATGGAATACATCCGTTTTTGGGCCCTAATTATAAGCATTAATAGGAAAAAAAGATGTATTTTGAAAATTATATATTTAAGATCAAAAACAAAGAAAATTAACAGTTAACCAACTTGTGCAGACTGAAGAAGCTACTTTGATAAGCAGTGAAACATTTCAAAGCAACAAGAAAAGAAATCCAGCTGCCATGGTTCAACTTTCAAAGAAATTACACATGGCATACATGTGGGGATGTATGCTTTGTTGTACACTCCCCTTTTAGTTTATCCTACCTACAATATTTAGAGATGGCCATAGAGCTGAATAATTTTAATAGAATTCTCATATTTGAATGCTACTTTAGACAATCAGTACATTTGAGCATTGATTCATAGTGAAACTGTTAAGGATTCAAAACTGTTTGCTGTATATATAAAGCTATTTAATCGTCTTGGCTTTGGACTACTTTTTTTGTGTTTTATTTTTAGGGACCAACACAACGACATGTGCAAATAATTATGGAAAAGCTATTGAGGACAGTAAACAGAACAGTCATATCAATGGGACGTGATTCAGAACTCATAGTAAGTGCTTTTTGATAATATATGAAATTAATGTTATAATCAGGGGTTGGATTCAAATTTTTTAACAACTGGTTCTGTGGGCGTGGCTTAGTTGGTGGGTGTGGCTTGGTGGTCATTTGACTGGGTGGACATGGCTTGGTGGTCATGTTATTGGCTGGGCATGGCCAACTCAACATCACTCACATCGAGGCACATATCTCCTCGTCTGGCCTCTCATGACTGTGGGAATGCTGCAACAGTCGTAAGTGTGAAAAATGGTCATAAGTCACTTTTTTCAGTTCCATTGTAACTTTGAATGGTCACTCCACACAAGCAAAGTACCAGCAAAGGAGGGAAAAGAAACTCCAGAGAAGTTCCTGAGACAGGAAGTCTAGTCCTGCCAAGAATGTAATAAGAGTTAACAGAGAGACAGTTTCTGTAAGCAACACCAGAATGTTTCCTTCCTGCCTTCCTTACAGGATTAGG